CCAGTGCCAACTTTTTCACTATTTTCTGAAAAATTCGTTCGATTTTCTGTCACCGGTTCGGTCACCATAGGCCTCGACCGATAGAAGCCCAGATATAAAGGTTGTACTGTACTTTATCCCTGTATACTTCGTGCAGGAGAAAGTAATCTAGCTTATTTGAAGCATTTATTGCACAAGATTATTCCCTTCTTTGCAGAAGAAAGTTGCGAATCTGGGGGGGGGGGGGGGGGCTATGGAGCTACAGCCCCCTCCCAGAGCTATATCAGAATTCTTGGTTTTATTTAAAATCATTACAGCTGTTTATTCTTAGCCTCCCCCCCCACACACACTTGAAAAAAAAGTGTCAACGTTGCTTCCTGGATTGACAGGCTCGAAAATTTTACCACTTTTGTAGTAATTCTACTCGTATTTGTAGCGTTGACACGGTCGAAAACATTTTTTGGCTAGTTATTTCATTGTGTTTCTTATTAAATTATCGAAAGTATTGGAGTGTTCTTTATTATTCTTATTGTCAGGTGGGTGAAGTCTGTAAAGTTAAAGTGTTTTGGTTTACATAAGCCACGAGGTTTGATATTCGTCACGACGATACAAAAAATTTTTATGACCTCAGCCCCTCCCAAACCCAAATCCTGGATTCGCCACTGGCAGAAGACTTTTCCTGCAGATCTGAGAAGAATGTCGAGAGATGCTGAGGATTGTGTGCTGTAGATGAGCCCCGGAGGTGTGCTGCCACCCACCAAGCCGAAGTCCACCTAGGAGGTAAAGGGAAAAAAAAATCGCTCATGGCATCTCGCGTGACATCTTGGGCGAGAGACCCGAGCCGTGTGCAACTCCGTCGTGTAATTATCTCCTAATGCGGACTCGCATTGTTCCATGGGCGGATACTCGCTGCTGCCATTCCGTCAGCCCCGGTGGCACGCGCCTCCTTCCTCTCAACAAAGAACCCTTTCAAGGATCCATCTGCTTCCCCCGATGGAATGACTTCGCCGATGTCGCTCAGGTCATTGTGGGGGTATTAAGTCTCGTGGTGAATCGATTTAGGCCTCTGGCTTTGATGTTACAGAACCAGATATCACGATGACTGGGTAGAAGATTATTTCGGTTTGAAATCGCTTGCTATCAGTGGTGTAGCTAAAGGAAGGAGGTCCGCCCCAGGCGGAACTTCGGAAGGGGCGGCAAAATCAGACTTGCAGGAAGACAATTTCATAACCATCAAGAACAGTGGCACTAGCTCAATCATTGTGTACATAAAAATAATTAATGTAATTAATTCATATTTTTCTCCTTTTGCCGGTAAACTGCCAGTGTGCGAAGTAAAGACTTGTGGTGGAAGCGAATTTTTGCAACCTATCTGTCGAGATCGAGGGCGTCAAACGACGAATTGCATTATTAATAAATTTTTTTCTCTGAAAATTTATTTTTTTATTTTGAGGTTCATGTGCCCTATGTATTTTATAAAGGAAAGGGGGCATGTTGTAAATTCGTCCCGGGCGGAAAAAGTTGCAGCTACGCCACTGGTTGTCCTTCCGAGTACCAGTACTGATGTACTTTTAACATGATGTTTTTAGGCCGGCATAATTTCTGTAAATTGCGTGTTGCAAAAATCATTTGGGATGTATTAAGTTTCATAGTGAGTCGATTTAGGTCTCTGGCTTTGATGTTAAAGAACAGGATCTCACGATGACTGGGTAGAAGATTATTTTCGGTTTCAAATATCTTAGTTGCCTGACTTGGTTGTTCTTTTTGGTACCAATATATTTATAATTTTAAGATGATACTGTTTTTAGTCTGGCAAACTTTCCGTGAATTGCGTGCTGAAAAAATCATACAGAGTACAATGTGATGCGTAATCCACAGAATGTAATGCTCCAAAGGGCAGACAGTTAGACCTGTTACCCCTTTGGTAGTAAGTGCTTACTAAGAAAAGGGTATTCAAAATTTTAATTAATTAAAAATTAATCTAAATTTTAGCGTTTTTCCTTCGATAACTGCAGAGCATATTATTGCTCAAGAACCAGTATTACACCATTAAAATAAAAAGATTAGCTTTTTAGTGATTCTAATTCCCGTGCCTGATACCATTGCGGCTACCGAACCGGTTGAATGGACATGGGGCAATAAAAGGTAACAACAGAAGTTACAAAAAAAAAAATGAAAATCGGAATTGTAGTTCAGCGACTACTGAGCCGCAAAGTTGGGCAAAAATACGCATGAATTGGTGACGCAATCCTCTATATCTCGGTAACTACATATGTTAAAAACATAACTAATGTCTTATTTTAGAGATAAAGGGTAACGACAGAAGTTACAAAGAAAATTTGAAAATCGGAAAAGAGTCACGCGAGTAAAGAAGTCCTACGCCTTTAACATCAGCGGCTTGAAAAAGACAGCCTCCATCATTTTTCTTTCTTTTTTTTTAAAAAAAAAAACAACAACTTTAAACACAGTTTTTGCAATGCCATTTATTGTTGTAAGGAAATTCAAACCAATTTTGTTGCTGAATTTTGTTTTGAATTGAGGAGCAGAATTTTCACTGTCGTTTTTATAAAGATGACAATGTTTTTAGGTTGGAATTCTTTCTGTAAAATGCGCGATATAAAAATCATTACTCACAGAATGCAACGGCTAATGGAATCAAGGCCGACGAAGACAAGACAGACGAATCAAGATAAAAACATTCTAACGCTGCTACGTTTTGGACAAGGGGTTCGAAATTTAAGGAGAGTTTTTTTTATACAACGTTAAAAAGCCGTCCAGTACGTCATCATATTTTTATTCCGAAAAGAAATTATGCTACGTCGTTGCTCTCTTTTCGAGGTAAGCTACAATTTTGATTTTATTGAGTGATGTTTAATTTCCGGGAA